TGCGGCACTTAACATTTATGTAGACTCATAATTAGCGTGCGTCACTTGAGATATTTTGTAGACTCAAAGTTTTACGGATTCATTTTTTCCAGTAGCGTTATTGGTCATATTTTTGCTTGTGTGTGCGAAGTGCAACTTCGCCTCTGTGTAAAACTTTTTTTTGCCTCTACGTTCACCTATCTAAGCATGTTCTGCAAAAACAAAATAGTAACTTATTTTTGTTCGGTTTTAATTGCAAAGAACAGTGCCGATACTTTGATTTTTTTGGCCAAGTAAGGTTGGCCCCCTGATGGCAGGCAAAGAATACGTGTTCTCTTCTTTTTCTTTGGAATAATCATTGGAAAAGATTGAAAATCTATTCATACTCAAGCTGTTTCAGTCGCAGTTTTGACGATACAAAAAAATTTTTAAAAAAATTCCCACCGTGTTCAGAAAAATCAGTTCGAAATTGATTTTTAATCAATTTTTGAGCAAGTAAAGCAATCGAGAAACGGTAATTGTATGAAAGTTGATCGCTTAGACTATACAAATACTGTAATTATAAAACATGAACTAAAGTTGAAAGCTTCTTTTAGCGTTTTTCTAGTCTAAAAAATTTCTAGAAATCATAAAAAACTGTTGTGCCAAAAAAATTTTAACCATTTTTTTTTGAAAATTCATTTTTTAAATTCATTTTTGAGAACAATTGTAAGAAACAAAATTAAGCCTAACTCATTAACTTTCTAAATCTTTGTATACTTCGTTTATTACATTTCGCTTGAAATTGACACTAATTTGAAGAAAACAAAAGAAAAAATCTTCCTCATATTTTTTTTATAATTGCGATCGGAACTTTTTGTGCTACTTGCCCAGCAAGCGGCTCTTAAATTTAAATAAGTTGAAAATCGTTCCATTAGCGCTGATTATATTTTGGTTAAACTGTCCAGACAGAAATTTGCTGTTTTGCTCATGAATTGTAATCTTTTTGCTTTCTGAGAACGTTTTTTAAAAAACAAGAGAGTGAATTTAAAGTCTGCGCACAGAAAGATAACTACAAAAAACCAGAAAACTGGACACAAAAATAAGTTGATTACCTATTTTGGTTTTAGTCGACGGTTAAAACCAAAAAATACATTTTTCAGACGAACCTGTTTTTAGATTATGATTATAAGATTTGCACACTCACTATGTTTTTATCCGACTTTGGTTTTTTTTCGAAAAATTGTATGAAAAAAACAGGGCATTTTGCTCGCGAATCTTTTTGAAGAAGTCATTGTTTTTGTGCTGCAGGATACAGCAATTGCACCCAATTTTTTGCAACATGTTCATATTTCTGAAGCGCCTCAAAATTTCATTCTCGATATTATAGAAGATTAGAGGGGACCGGCCTACTTGAATGCGCGCCGCTTAGCATGGGGCTATTAGCGCCATTCGAAATGAGTTTGGTTTTTCAATTTTGCTACAAAACTTTGAACTGATGAGTGCAGACACATATTCTTTTAACTGCGCGTGCTAAGCAACTGATTTTTTAAAGTATTTTTTGAGAATGAATATTTTCGGGAGCATTAAAAATACAAAAAATATATCGGTTGTTTTCCTTCGTAAGGCTACGGGGGCTTGCGTTCTTGATGCAAGTTTGACTCAAATTTGCGTTCTGATCACATGTGTAAATAGCGAGTTAAATTGTTCCAAAATGAATCGAGGCAACTAATTTGGTTTTACTAGTAGGAAACAGTAGGCTAAATACATCCGTATGTCCTAATATAGCGTGTGCGGGTTTGAATTGAAGAAAAAATGAAAAATAAATTATGTTTTTTTTTGTATATTTTATCATGATTTATATGCAATTTTTAAATGAAATTTAAATACAGCCGAAAAGTTTATATTCTTACGCTGATATACGAGCAGTCTTCTTTATCTGTCTTTTCAAAAAGCGCGGAACATTAGTTCTCGGGATTTTTTTTATTCAGTCAGTTTTCGACTTTTTAACTAAGCGCTTTTGACACAAGATATTTGCTTATTGTTGTCTGGACTACAAATGAAACAATTTTTCATTTTTGCTTTTTTGTGTGAAAGTTAAGGGATCAAAACCGGCTGATTTTGCCAATCTGGGATAATTAACGCGCGGTATATTGCGTTGTATAACACGCCTGAGCGCCAGATCAAATCCTTCCAAATTGACATGAGAGAAGTCATTTGGTCATGCTTTTTAGAAATTGAGACGCTATCAACATCTATTTTGTAATTGAAAATATGGGTGGGATGATAAAACGAAAAAAAAATCAACAAAATTTTTTTTTCGATTAGTTTAATTATGTTTTAATCAATTGTTTCATCTGGCCCTTAAGTGCAGTCGGAACTTTTAGGATTTTTTCTTGATATACAAGCATTCTTGTTTTATTTAGTTGCGATTTGTTTTCAATACTTTTTTGGTCAATGACCGTATCGAAGTGAATTTAAATAACTTGAAACTGCTCATTTTGATGTGCAAAACATAATTTCAATCGTTCATTACCGTAAGCAACGTAAAATACTATCTTTACTTTCACATTATCATTGAATTTTTGACCAATCGGAGCCTAAGGTTGCCTATTTTTTCAAATTTTTTGGCATTCAATATATATGTACAGAGACTTGCCAAAAATTGGAGCAGGGAAAATTCACTTACAAAAGCAAAAAAGCTGTTTTAGGCAATTTCTGCCTGCACAAACTAAATATATACTATAACTTTATCTTCCATTCAAACCAAATTCACACAACTCTTTGTTTCGTCGGAGGATTGATCCTTTAATCTGCATGGGCTCATTGGGGTGCGCACACTGGTGTAGTATTCAGCCATGTTGTGTGTTAACTGCTCGTTTTATATTTTACACAAGGCAATAAAACATGCGCTGCAAATTTGCTCCAAATTGAATTGAGGCAATAACATACACGACTCAAACTTTTAATTTATCAAAAACTATTCTAAAGGGCAGTCTGAACCTTGAAGGCTTTGCCCTGATTCGAACAGTCTTGTTAATTAGTATTGCCTGTCTTATTTTGCAACTTTTGCAACTTTTTACACTTTTTTGCAACTTTTTACACGTTTTATGGTGAATGCCAAATTGTTTTCAATGTCTTTTTGGGTCAATGAACTTAAACGGAGTTAATTAACCTATAAATGCTCATTTAGACATCGTGAATCATTTTTTCCGCGTTTCAACGTTAACGTAAAAATTAAAGAGCTCAAGTTCCTTGATATTCTTAACAATATGGCCTAAACTGTAAGTTATAAGACTTCAAGATGGACAAGCGGTAAAATAATGCCAGGACTAGAGCGAAACCCAGACATGTCGAAACGGGATTGCCAGCTCTACCGAATTGTTTAACCTAATTTAAATATTGTGACAAAAGTTAACTACTGCATAGATTGCGCCAAGAATTTCACTAGAATGTTAAGAGAAATAAGCGATTTGGAAACGTTTTGAGTTTTTTTTCCAAAAAATTCATTGGAAAATGGTATTTTGATTTCTTTTTAGCGTTTGATAACTTTAAAATTTTTTAATAACGCGCAAAAAAATTTTTGGTCTTATACACTAAAGGGCCCAAAATCAGTATTTCTTCATCTTTCTTGAGCTCAAATTAATAAGGTTGAATCTGATTTGCAACTTATGTACTCAAATTCAAATAACATGGTCCTGCATTTGAATTGAAATTTCAAGAAGATAAATTTGCTGGCCGACTTGATCAAAACTATAAAATTTTTAATCTGCTGAAGCCATTTTTTTGAAATTTTCTCGTCTAATAAAAACTTACCATGGTGACTTGAAAATAATTTTATTATTAGATAAAGTTTAAAATTTGGTATTTTTTGCTAATGATTTTATCTGCTGGAAGTTTTGAGGGCTTTGCCTGACCATGTTGGTTGAATTTGATTGGCTAATATTAGCAAATCAGATTTGAATGCATAAATTTTATCTCAAAATATAAAAAAATTGATTTCGGGCCGTTTTGTGCATAAGACACAAAATGTTCGATAGTTTCCAATTAAAGTAGCTCTCTAACTCAAAGTATGCACCAAGTTTTGGTGATCGGCAAATACGACGACAATTGCTTTTGATGGGACTTTAAGACGATGCTAGTAATTCTCCAACTGTATATCTGAGAAATAAAAACCGCTTAAGTTTGAGCAGTTTATTTTAAATGTTTTGACACTTAGTCATCTCAATCTCATGCCCTTGACCGTGCTTGATCCAAGCAAGATATGTTTCGACCGTACTTGACTGATTTTGGATATGTTTCAACTTTGAAACGACATGAGTTATCCAAATTTAAACGTTATATTTCATGCTTTTCGGGTAACTTCTTATGATGTTTTTTTTTCAGAATGAAATGAGTTATTTTACAGTTTAAATTCCATGTACAGATGTACATATTATGGAATACTGACTAGCAATTTGATTTGAAAATGTTAAAACATATGTTGGTATTTGAAAGATGTTTTTCTTTGACTCGGGACAATCGCGAATTTTTTGACCGTGCTTCGAATTTGTGCTCAACCCAAAATTCGTCTCGACTATACTTTTTCGGGTGAGCACTGATATGTTCTCTACTTTGAAATTCAAAACATAAAAAAAGCACTTCGAGCAGGGTTCATAGCACCCAAACTGTTTGTTTAAAGTCTCATTTTATTTGACACATGAATGACCCGGGTCGAGATCCCATTCAAAAGCCGCTCATGATTTCAACAGTTTGAGCGGTTTTCCAGCAAAATTTGAGCGGTTTGAGCGGTTTGGAAGGTTTTTTGTCGGAAAAACCGCTTAAACCGCTTAAATCTTGCTTTAAAAAACCGCTCAAAAACCGTTCAAATCTTGCGCGGTTTTTGAGCGGTTTTTTTAAGACAAACCACTTAAAAACCCTTCAAACTGTTCATTATGAAGCAAGATTTTGAGCGCAATCGTCCAAAAAAAACCGATCAAACCGCTCAAATCTTGCTTCAAATTAGGTGAAAATCTGTATAAGCTTTCTGTTATTTATGATAGCTGGCGGAGAAGCAGTTGAAGCTGGTGTGTCGTTGCAGTGGCACTGGAGTGAGTGGGTCCTGTGTGCACAAGGTCTGCTGGCAATCCCTTTCCTTCCCAGAAGTGGCCAACTCCATCCGCAAGAGATACACCAACGCCATCAGAGTCAGTATGCAGAACCACCCCTAACCTAATTATGGCGTTCATACTGTTACTAACAAACCATTTTTGGGACATTTTCTGACTTTTTAGAGGTTGCTATGGACTACAGTGTAGAGCTATTTTATTGCAGTAACTTTTGTATGGAATGTGATTAGGAAGGAGTGACTCCAGTACATTCCTCAACCACGTTCCATACAAAAGTTATTTTTATATTAAACGTAACTCTAGTCCTGAGCAACATCTAAAAAACCAGAAAATGGTATGATGCTAAAAGACACCATACTTTATATGCAGCAAGATTTCTAGTCCTGAATTTAAACCACCAACTCACCTGCTAGCCGTGGTTTTAACAACCTTGAATTATGTTTGCTTTTTAAACACACCTTCTGATTTGATCGGTATTCTGTATGAGAGAAAGTCCGGTTAACTTTAATCGCGATGATGTTCAATAAAAAAAACGGGGCATCCATAATATAATCGTTTCAAAACTCGGAAGTTTTGTTCTAATTATTTTTGACATAGTAAAGAAGTTCATTATTACAATTTTAAAAAAATTGTACTATTATGAGCCTACTATTTCGATTTCATAGGTTTTGAGAGCACAGTAGAACTTTCACATGTCAATTGATCAAAATTATTATTAAAAAGTAATAAAAATGTTTCGCAAGTGTCTCGAATTTTAGTTGTCATTCATTGATTGAATTTTCACTTGCGAAAGCAATTGTCTTAATTGGCAGCAAATTTTTTTCACTAAACAAAACTATGAGCAATTGAGAGTTTCTTCTTAGAAATATCAGGGAATCTATTCAGCTGCTCACTTAGTGTAATGGTTACCTGCTTGATGCTCCAAAGCTCCACGGTTTGATCCCGACCAGGGCCTTTTAGAAAAATAGCAGCAGGGGCTTGTTAGAAAAATAAAGCATTATTTACAGTTTTAGAACGATATTTTTTATATTCGAAGTGATAAAAAGGAGAAGCGTTGCGAAAAAATTTTATGAAAATTGTTCTTTCGTTATCATTTTATTATGAACTTCATTACGAGGCCAAACTGTGCACTGGATAGGCGCACAGTTTTGTGTATGTATGTTCCTGGATTCCAGAGACAACTCTTTAAACATGCTAACTCTTGCGAAGCGAGTGTATTAGCAAGAACCTTTTTTTCCCAACCTAAGTCGCAAATATTGGTGCCACTTTCGGGGCACCTTTACAGTATTTTCATAGCATGTGCTTTGACATTCGAATACTAATAAGTTAACACATCTGATGCATTTTTAATTCATCAAATCAACCGAGAAAAGTGATTTGTTTCAAACAACATAGCCAGAATGAAAACTCGGTGTAAGACATTTTCTAACTCAATTTTTATCTCACAATTTTTTGAAACGTTTAATGATTAATTTACGTTTTATTTAGCTAAATACATGATGTTACACTACAAAGTATGAAGAACAAGTCTGCTCAAAGTTGTCGATTTGTTCACCACGCCAAATTTCATTTCATAATGACAACGTTAAATAAGCTTATCAAAACTGAACTTGAAAAGAGGGAAACTGGAAAAAGACCTTGAAATGCATAATTTATGCATAATATGGCTTTATGCTTTGCGATTTGATGCTTGCAAAGTTAGTGGGAATACCTTCACTTGTTATAATCCAATTTTTTACTTGCAAAATGTGTCTATTTGTATTTTGTGCCGCTTTTGCTTAATGGCATTGGCAATTTACTAGTATATGTAGCTGCTTTAATCGTGACTAGTGTTTGTCAGTTGTTAAGCTGGCGTGGCTGATTGGATAGTGCGTGAGACTCAAAATCTTTTGATTGCAGTAGGTCGCAGGTTCGAATCCTACAAGTAGCCGAGTTTCGAATCCTAGACGTAGCGCTGCTGAAATCTGAGCTGCTGAGTAGAGATTTTAAATGTTGTACAATCAACTTTCATCGTTCCGTAGTTTTTGTAATTTTCGATGGATTTGCACCTGCTGTTTTTATTTTAATTGGCAGAGCATTTTCTCTGACTTTTGAATGTGAATTTTTTGTGCAACACTTTTTGTACCGAACCTAAAGAATTTTTAGTGGGTTAGTTTTGCGCAGTGAAAAAACACTCAAATTTTTTATGTTCCGTCCAACTTTTTAGTTCTGTTTTTTTTTGTAGTACAATCATCTAACACACCGTGTTGTTGATTAGGCTCAGTTGAAAGATAATTGAAGTGAGTTGATTATATTTTTCTGAACTTCAATGATATGATTTGTAAAAGTTTCTAAGCTTTTTCAATTTTTTGGTTTTGAAATAATCAGTTGCATAAATTGAAGTTTTGAGGAAAATCCATTGAATTTATTTTATCATCATATTGAGTTATTATTCGTGAACAATCGTACGCGACTGGCCCTTAAACTTTCTTGCAAGGTTATAATCCCGCGACCATAAGTTACAGGTTTTTATAGACGCGGACAGAATCTTGAAATATCGAAGTTTGGTATCGATAGTCTGAAAATAAGTCGAAATATTCTAATAACTAGTCGCGGTTAGGCTTTTGGTGGAGCTATTGCTTTCAAACCTAGGAGTTTAGCCATTCTAATTTGTCACACTGATACTTTGAGACATGAAATTTAACAAGATCAAGTTGCAGTAGCAGCTGGAGATGATTATGCTTGGTTCAGTTTTTACGGTCGTGTTGGTCGCGACTAATTTCTTGTCGCGTCTGTCGCAAATAACTTTTCCTCGGTAGCGCTGTTCGCGGGTAAAATTTTTCAGTCGCGCCGGTTTCAGATAGTTTTTCCCGAGTATCGACGGTCGCGGACTTATCTTGTCGGACTGCAAAGTCTAAAAGTAGCGAAACTTGGTCGCAACTGTCTAAAAAAGAAAGTTTGCTCGCGATAGTCTTATCATAAAATGGCAATTTCAGCCCACGTAGAAAGAAAAAATAGTTCAGTAACAGTCCATATCATATCTGTAGCCCGATAGAGTTTCGCTGATTGGCAGACATGCGTTGTCTTTCCAAGTTACTACACGTATTTTTATACAAAAACTGCTTCTAACGAATTGCCGCGTTTTTATATCTACTGATTTCTGCTTTTCACTCTATAACCGCTCCACAAAAAACTAACAAAAAGCAAATAAAATGGAAACTTAGATCAGATATAATTTTCATTTTTTTGTATTAATATCAATTGATGGAAAACGCAATACTCGCGTTCAAAACTTTGGACCTATAATTATGATTGACTAATTTTTTTTATTGCGTGTCGCCATAAAAGAATATGTGTGAACTTAGATTCGCTCACTTTTTGTTCAAAAATTTGAAGATATTAAATTGAATACAGATTGTTTTGAAATGAAACATATCCATCTAGTCTTACCAATTTTTAAGCTATTGAATAAAATCTTTTGCAAGGTAGAAATTCGCCAAACTTGGTTGATACACTTGATTAAACTTTTTGATAGCCCTTTTTTTGATGTTCCTTAGATTTCCACCATCTCACAGGGTGTTTGTTTGCAACAACTGGAAAAAGTTCATATTTTTTTCACTCAAATTGTGTTATTGTTCCGACTTTCGAAGGAAGTGCGGAACATCTATGCTTGATGTGACTTTTTTAGTGAGTCAATTTTCGAGTTGTTAACAAAGCGTTTTTAACGGACTTTTGCTATAGCATCTGAAAGATATTGTTATCCTCAGCTCAAATTTAAACCCTTTACTTTATAGCCCTGTAACAAGATAACCTCACAACAATTTAACCCCCTTTGAATACCAATAGTTTGTTTCAAATTGAGTCCTTTTTATAATCACAGAAGTATTCCAATATTCCTATTAATTGCACTAATTGAGGCCTGAAAAGCCAGTCTGATTTCACTTGATGCCTCTAGCATCTCAAAAATAATTGCATTTCGTTTAGTTAGAAAAATAATCCTTCATTAACGCGTGTAAAGCAGAGATAACTGACATGATGCTAATTGAAGCAACTCAAGATAATATTTAAGCAACATTCAAATAAAATTATACTGCCTGACAGTCTAACGATTGCTTTACCATTCTATGAGCTTTAATGTTTGAAGTCTTCTTCCAGTTTACTTTATCCTCAAAAGAAAAACAAAGATTAATGGTATCAGGCCACGATTGTGATCCTAAACGTAAGATAAAAACCACTACGAACTGGAACTGCTCAAAATCAAAATACCAGGTTCATAAATGCCGAGCAACTGCAATTAGGGATGGCAAAAATTTTATTGAACGAGGGGTGAGCTTAAACTGAACGTATCTACGGAAAAACTTGATGCTCGACTAGTTTTGAAAATAATCAAAGATCTGAGCCAGAGTAATACCCCAAACATCGCAGTGGGCACTGCAATTCAGCCCATAACAGACGATATTGCCACTCAATTAGCCCTACCAACAGTTGGAAATTTGGTTCGAACTGCGCGCAAGCAACGAGAACAGGTTTTACCAGTCTCCCCTACAACAAGAAATTTCGAAATACCCGAGCTATCTTAGAACTGACAAAGGTCAAAAGGTTCACGAAAAGGTTATCGTATTCGGCGACCCAGAAATCATACTGTGCTCGAAATGTCAAACTTTTGTTTGGCTAGCGGAACTTTCAAAGTTTTTCCTGAAAGGTTTTTAACAGTTTTACTCTATAAGTGTTAGTCGTTCAGGAATAGCCCCCGGTTGCATAAATGTTTTCTTACCAAACAAAACAGACAAAAAGATACCATCGTTTCTTAGAAGCCCTAAAAACTTAAACATTGACAGTTATTTTACAATTATTTTGCGAGGTTCATACACTTCTGATTTGCAAGAAACAGAAAACAAATGGAAACTCATATTTTTTTCACTCAAATTGAGTTATTGTTCCGTTCCGAACTTTGAATAAAGTGCGGAATATCTATGCTTGGCGAGGCTTTTTTAGCAAGTCATCTTTCGACTTGTTAACAAAAATTTTTTGCGGAATTTTTCGATAGCATCTGAGAAAGGTTGTTATCCTAAATACAAACTAAAACCCCGTACGTTACA